AGGCTAAGTCATGAAAATGAGCAGAAAGAGATGTTTTATGTATGTTACATCCACTAAAATATGTTTTCCAACAAAAATTCCAACAATTTCCTGTTGAAGTGTCTATTTCCTGCTTGGACTTCCTGGCTTCATGATGCAGCAATCTCTGAGCTAATCCAATCAGCTAAAAGCATTTATCTAATGAATAAACTACATGCTCTTTCAGCTGATTTTGCTCTTTTCTTTTGAGAAACATGGGATTTTTCTTGGGGGGGGTTACAAAAAAAAACCTTATAAAACAATATGAGTCTTTAATTAGACAAACGTGATTTACATTAGTCTTGCTGATGCGGCCATGAGAGTTCTAATGGGTTTACACGGTTTTTCATTATATAGGAGTTGTTAGATGTTGTAAAACTCACACAGTAAAAGCCACAGAGATCTTCTGCAGGGATCTGATAAGCTCCAGTCAGCAGAAGAACTCTTATCATTTGACTGGTATCTCAGAAGTTTGGTCAGTGTGTTACTTCTGCATACTTTAGTCAACGTGCAAGCGCTATGACCCAAAATGTGCTAAAATGCAACACTATGATCATTTCTGTGCAAAGATCATGCTAACACAAAAAGAATGATATTATTCAGGAAGAATCCCTATGCTTTATCACGGTGCATTTGTCACATATCAGACACAAAAAAGGCAGAAATTAGCTGGGCTACATAGAGCTGCAGAAACTAAAATACTGTTTTAAAGTCTAAACATGTCTTATTTACAGCCTCCAAAATATTTATGAATCTATCAAGAATAGTGAATTTTGTGCATATTTTCTTTAGAATTTTTTTTCCCAGAGAACTCTCTGAACTCCTGAAGTGTAAACATGGCTACTTATGTGAGTAAATAACCCGTGATGTGAAAAGTTTTAAAACTTTGCATGAAATTCAGAATATTAGAGCAGTCTTAGGCTGGAAATAAACTTGTGTTTTAGCCTCATGTCTTTGTTCGTACACTTGCTGCTGCACAGCCTGTAGTACTAGAGGAGTCCACAAGGGGGCACAGTAGAGCACTCAGACTGGATAGAGTCCCAGGTTTGTGGGCCACAACCAAAACAAATATGGCGTAAATAGAGGAGATCAGTAACTGACTAATTTTGAGATTACGTAAAATACAGGATGAAAGACCTCTAAACCAGAAACAAAGTGACTGTGGTGAGTGTGGGTGTTTCCCAACGTCAAGGCGCCTTGCTTACAAGGACACTGTCCTTCCTTGGTCCAAGAAAACGGTTAAATAGAACTGACTTACTTCATGACTGCGGCAGTCACATCACATCACACGTGAGGTAAAGTTATATTTTATATGTATACGTTTCAATATAAACATATAACGACCCTTTTATTTTTTAAATTGTGTATTGTTAAATTAAATATGTAAGTGAGTTAATACCTGCTAGCTGCTGGAGCCAACCCTAGAGAACTGTACTGGATCTAAAAATATTTGTGATATCAGCCCAATATCTACAATTAGTTGACTTACCGCGCCTCATGATTTTTATCTTGAGAGGCGTTATAGAAAGGATATTTTCTTCTTCTTACATTTAAACTTGAAATTTGCCCTCAGTAGCTGCCGGCTCCTGATCCGCCATCCTTTTGAAAATACTGTGGTGTATTCTGGGAAATTTTCAACCAAGGCCAGGCTACAAGACACCTCCCATGTATCCTTGGTAAGCTAGCTAAACGGCTAACAAATGGAGAACAGATGACTCTGTATTGGAACAGGTCTTGGTGGTTCCTAGGCAACTGGGGTGAGATCAAGTCATCAAGGCGAGGTTCCTTGGCATTGAGAAACACCCTGTGTCTTGCTCGTTTTGTGAACTCCACCTACTGGTTACTCATATACTGCAGCATTCAAATGCTTTGCATTAATTTAGGGGGACACGCACAAACGATGCTTCAAATCACTGCAAGTTACGCGAGGCAGCCATTTTAAACACATGTGCGCATCAGCAAACAGCAAGCTTATTTCCAGCCCTATAAGATCAACAAGACACTTTAGTCTTAGCAGTTCTAACTAGCCGTTAGCTTATCAGTCATGTAGGATCTAAACTCTTCGGGAAGCTATCTACAGGTAGGATTTTGATTCTTCATATCCTTTAACTGAAACATAATTCAAACTGGCTTAAAATTCTCCCTCATGGTCAAATTTTGACTTTTTTTTAATCCATGCTGAAAACAACACACCATCCTAAATCAAAGACAAATACCATATCATGTACTGTATATCTTTCTGGTTTCTTCAGTAAGAACCAGTAGAAAGAGGAGACTTGTGGTTCATTCTGAGTCATTTCTTGATGATATTGAGTTCATGATCCCGTCCAGCCTGAGCTAGCATGTGAGGTAGAGGACTAAATATGGTGAGTCCACTCACTCCCTGAGTCTCCTTCTCATCATGACATCAGTCTGAGAAGCTGTACACGCCTTCTTTGTTGCCTGGGTGCTGCACGGAAACAGGAAAACACGGCTATTGAGCCTGAAACTGGAGCTGAGTGGAGCAAGAAAGGCCAGAGCCGTGGAGCTGAAACAATCCTGCATAATAAGTCTAAATCTTGTGATTCCCAGGGAAAAAATGAAAAATGTTAAAGTGAGTAAGTGAAGTTATCCCCCTGTATCATGGCGTTGTTTACTTAGCTGTGATCTGGGGAGGAAGCCTGACCGATAGAGGAAAGAAGTCAAAAGTCAGTCATGAGATCTGAAACGTCTCTTTCCCAAAATACACTGCACCCTGGCCCTGACAGAGGCAAGGCAGAGAGCTGTCAACAACTCTGTCAGCTATTTCAGGGCCTGGGAAGGAAGCGCAGCCTTCTACTAACGGGATGTTTCCGAAACATTTGTACAGCCTCAGTGGGCAGAGACAAAAGGGAAGTGCTAAGGAAACTCTGGGGGATCAAATGCACAGAATAAATCAAGAGCTCTGCCAAATCTGGAAGAAGTCAGGGTGCCACATGGTGGGCAGAAGCCCTGAAAGTTTGTTTTAGCTCACCAAAGGGCTGGCGGGAATAATCCCAGGGTTTTCTTTACTTATTATTTGTTTTCCTTTGAATTTCTGTCAGAAATGATGACAGAGTTTGTTTAATGAGTAAATGATGCTAACTTGTCATCAAGAAGGTGGATTTAAAGTTTGTTTGCAAATAATTCTTTATAATCAACCAAAATGTAATATTTTTAACCAATTATGTGCTTGTTGCTTGATATTTGTCTAAAACAACCACTAAATGTTGGACTTTTTAAACACATAATTATACTATTCATTTTTATTTATCAAAGCAGAAACAAATCAAATAATTTCTTTGTGATCATTATGTTTTAGCTAATATGACTGGTGTTCATGTAACATAAGAAGCAGGAGCGTTTGTTTCTGTGCATTTTGCTGAATGTTACATTTTAGGGGTTTTTGTTATTTATAATTGAAGTATAAATATAACTAGTTAAAACTGGAAATAGCAGGTTAACAATTTATAAAAGACAACAGCAAAAAGACGTGAGCAAAGCCCAGAAACAAGAGAAAGATTATTTCCCTGGGAATAAAGACGGAACAGATGACATTTCAGGTCCTAAATATTAAGAATTGGAAACACATCATGAGCAGCTCCTGGTTCACAGCTAAAGGAACATCCTCATGTTGACTTTGTTAATTATTACCTAACTTGTCCAAATAAGCACACAGTACAGATCGATACGGCCGTGACCTCCTTTTTGTCCTCGTTCACCTAATTTTGTTACACAATTTAACAAATAAAGAAACATAATTATGGATAAAGATGCTTCATATCTGACCAAAACGTAAATAACGTTTGTTCACAGTTGTTTTCATGAAGCATCCAACTATAATCCACAGAAATGTAGAAACAGCTTTAGCTGCATGGAACAGAAGCATGAATACGTAGGGATTTAGAGTCCAAGCAGCAGCAAACTGATCATCGACCACTTGGTAAAGAATAATTTTATCTTATTGAGACATGAACTGACCCTAACAGGAAAAATACAGCTAAAGTAAACAAAAAATGTTTAAATGACAGTCACTTTGTAATGAAAATTAAACTTAAATACTGTAAATTGTTATAAAGTAATACGTTATATTAAACAAATATTATTTTTTATCTTACTGTTGCATTATTATAATTTTTTTGCCTTTAACTGATATGAAATGCAAGAATAAACATTTCTAAAGTTCTCAAAAAGTAGTGATGCACCGATATGAACTTTTTGTGGCAATACCGATATCCAATATCACTGTTGTGGCTGACAACCGATATTTTCAGATACTTATATACTGACATTAATGCTTCTAAAATCAGCATATTTTGTATAGAATTAAAATTATTAAAGCTGAATTTACATTATGTACACACACCACACACATTTATGCTTCTGAGATGATTACGATCACTGTCACATGACTAAGCAAATACATCACCCCCCTCGACCTCTGAAACAGGCAAACAAATTGAGACAAGATGTAAAAAATATCGGTTGTTAATATCGGCCCGCTTTTATTAATCAGACTGATACTGATATGTTAAAAAACGATTATTACCGGCCGATACCGATACTGATGCCGATATATTGTATATTATATCAAAAAGTGATTCAGAAAACATTTTGTATTGGTTATGGAGCGAGAAACTGCTTTTATTCTGATTACTTGTTCTGTTATTAAATCTTTAAAGCCAATTTTATCATATCTGCTCCAAGTGTTGCCAAGTTTCTTAGACCTCATCTATCTCTTTAACAGGATTAGTACCTTCCTCAGACATCTGCCTCCTTGTGGAAGATCTGAGTGCTGCAGAAGATATGTGTCACTAATACTTTGTTACTGTTGTTTATGTATCTAATGGGATGTTTTTAATAGCTATACAACTGTTTTATTTGCATTTTCCACTGAATAAACGAACATTTAAATTTAAAAAAAATATTTTCTGTATCGTGCTGGCTTAAAAGAGTTGATTAAGAGTTCCTGTCCCATCACCAACCTTCTATCAGAGGACATTTGGACAGGTCCCTTCTGTCCTCAGGGAAAGAGTCCAGCAGCTTTTTAAACAGCCGTCCCAGATCTGAGTAACTCCTGTGGAGGTATAAAATGTTCCTGTCGGACCACTCGGTTCTGATCTCGAAGAACTCCTCTTCCTCCCCTCGCTGGCTGATGATGAGTCTCCGGATCCCGTTAACCCAGCAGTCCCGGACGAACATGTTGACCAGAGACGTGCCTTCAAACACGGCCGACGCCATCCTTCATCCCTCCGTCAGTCCCCCGGCATGTTAGGGAGGGAGAGGAGGCCCAGGAGTCCGGAGGAGAAAAAGAGAAGGAGGAAACTTTTCGGTCAGCCCTCCGTGTGACCGTCAGACAGCTGCAGCTGAGAATAAAAACAGGAGGAGGAGGAGGAGGAGGCGCAACGTGGCATGACTTGTAGAAAAAAAACACTGGAGAATAAAATAAAGCCCCTGCAAAAAAAAAAAAGGATCTGGAAACATAGATGTTTATCTTCCTCACTCTGCAAAAAAAAAAAAAGAGAGAGAGAGAGAGAGAGAGAGAGAGAGAGAGAATCTCAAAATTTTGTTTTCTCTCTTTTTTCATCTCAAGTTCAGTTTGAAATTTGTTGCTTTCCTTTTCCTCCCCTCTTCCTCCCTCCTTTCTTCCTTCCTCCCTCCTTGACAACAGGCTGCAATTATGGAAAGAATGCACAGTTTGCAAAAACATTCTACTCCAGAAAAACAAACAAGATATCATTTAAAATATATCTAAATTTGATTAACTAGATATTAATTCATGTCATTTTTAATCCTCTCATATTAGATTGTCTTTCTTTGATTATCACGTGTTGTTATTTAATTTAACCAACAAATGAGAATAATTCCAGGTCATGTTCATTGCAAGGATTTGTGTTTTTAACTAAAGTCAGGCCAGTGTTTTCAGTCACCAAATGGGAAGCAGAATACTGTTCTAGTGACTGAACAGCTCATCTGTTTAACTGGGAGGCCGAGACTAATAAAATATCTTTTACTGGAAGTTATGGTCGAGGCAAGAAAGGACGATTCAGCTGTAATTAACGAAGGCGGTGAATGAAAAAGAGACAGTCTGAAACATTTCTGGTGAAAGCCATTCACAGCCATGCAACAGGAAATAGCGTGTTAATTGCAAATAAAAGCACGCATAAAACACCCCCTTAATGAATGCAAACATAAGTACACCTGCACACAAAGTAAAGACAGAGATTCAATGAAAAATAATAATAATTTGTTACCAAACAGAGGAAAAACTCTGTTTCTTTTATTGCAAAAGACTCAAATAAAGAAATTCACCATGAACACAAAGTCTTGTTTAGCTTCAACTTCGATGCTAAAGTTGCTGATAGCTCTTTGAATGACCTCAGGATGGAGAAATAGTTCTAATTAGAATGACTTGGACAAAGTCTCTGAAGATTCACAAGAGTTCGTAAGCCTTATCCTGTCAGTTTAGCATTACATGTTAATTTAGATAGAACCATGTTACATTTTCCAAACACATAAACCACAAAACAACAGCTAGCAGCAGCATTTCCAGTGCAGACCGAGTTATTTCCAGGAGGAATATTACATTTCAGCTGGAAGTACTTTTTCAGATAAAAAGGATGTTGATGTGACGGTTTCGTGAAGTTACATTTGCATGAATCAATATGACTTTTTAATAATTGGTTATTTTAGATTGTTATTTTGATCTTGGCCCCACTTGAACTAGCTTTTAGCTTATCAATCCAGATAAAACTGATCCTTTTCTCGATTTTGATAGGACCCACTTTTAAAGATCTGAACCATGTTTTTTGAGTCATTGGTTCTACATATGAATATGTCAGATGGACCTATAAATAACAGCATGATGTAATACTGGGTTTTTTATGAGATGTTCTAAATAATGTTATTGTTCACCTCAGTGGTTGTTTATGGTGACAGATCTGCACAACAACAACTAAACTGTATCATTAAATTCACAAAAATTACAGAGTAGGGAGAAAATCCTGATGTCCTCTAAGGACCACAGTCTGGTCATGCTGCTAAATATAATGTGCGTACATAGATACTGGGTATGTGAGATTCAGGTTTATTTGCAACCTCCAGCAAAGTTTTCCCACAAACCTATCACGCCCATTTCTATTGGTGGTCAGACTAGGATCACTCACCAGAGAATTTGTAGTGATATCACGATAACTGAGGAAATGAGAGGCAAATGTATTTCCATGGCATGATGGCAAATTTTGCCGTGCTCCCAAAGCCCCACCTTTTTTCGAAACCTGTCAATACTGGACACCAAGTGACCTCAACTTGTCTACTGCTATTTGCCAGAGATTGCTGGTGATTGGGTGAAAGGACTCCAATAGGAAGCTGTGAAAAAAAGAGTGGCATGGCGACAGGTCAAAGTTTGAGGCTTAGCCACGCCCACACCTTTCAACTTTTGAAAAATCTGACAGTGGAATTTTTTTCCCTATAGCTTAAGAGTATATAACAGAAGTTTGAAGGTGATCGGTGAAAAGGGCGACTGTGCATCATTTTCCAAACAACGTCTGCGAAAACCACTAAATCGAGCACTTCGACCAAAATAGCCGACCTCCTGTGCAACTTTACGCTTGGCTCCAAGAGACTTTTTTGTAGGTCCTGAGACACTACATTAGTGTACTACATTTTGTAATCCTCAGTCAAAGCATGGCTTGGGGCTGACAGTTTTAATGGTCCTAGGGGGCACTATTTAAGAAAATAGACCCCACCCACCAGATTTTCACATCAGATTTTTTGGGGGGCCAGACTAGTATCACTCACCAGAAGTTTCGTGGTGATATCTTTAGAAATGACGAAATTGGAGGCAAACGTATGGCCACGGTGATATCTTTAGAAATGACGAAATTGGAGGCAAACGTATGGCCACGGCGGTACGCCTGACTTCGCCGTGCTGCCACAGCCCCGCCCTCTTTTGAAAACTCCCATAAAGTGATGCCAAGAAACTCCCACTTGTCTTGAGTTAACAGCTACAAATTTGTGGTGATTAAGTGAAATGGGGCGATTTGGGACCTATCACAATAAAACTTCACTTTTCTGGTCCTGAGGGGGCGGGGCTTGTGTGATGTCATCATCCGACCATTCAGTTTAGTTTGTGGCTGTATGTCAAATGACCACAGAAATTTTTTTAACTCTACTCTATTCAAGTATGAAGTTATAACCATTTATATTTTTTGGTGAGTAGTCAAACTTTGAGGCCTGGCCACGCCCCCTCAGCATATACGAAAAGTAGTTTTATTTTTTTCTATTTGATTGCCCATCCCTTCTGAGCTATTTCCCACAACTTTCAAGACAATCGTGCGAAAAATGATCGAGTAAATCAATCAGAAGCCGACCCTAGAAATGGCAAAAACAGGGTAAAAATCACCACTTCAAACCAAAATGGCCGACCTCCTGTTTGATGTTGACCATGGTTGCAAGAGGCTTTTCTGTGCAGACTGTTCTACAAGTGTACAAAATTTCATAACTGTACAACAATTTAAGGTTTATGGAGGGGGGTATTTTTCACATTCTAGGGGGTGCTGTGGAGCTAGTTTTATTGCAATATTTTTGGGACCTTTAAAATACAAAATTTTACACCAAACCTGACATGTGTACAAAAATTCCTGAGTTTTCGGGTATGTTAAGGCCTCCAAAAAGCCAATTTACTTGGTGGAAGAAAAATAAACAGAGCAGATACAAAAGGCCTTTGCAGCGCTTTCGCTGCTCGGGCCTAATTACGTGACTGCACCAAACACATAGATGTGGTTGTTGGTTCAAATCCCTTTAGCTCTGCCTCCTTTCAGCTCTTTGGCTCTAGAAAGCACATGCAATGTCTGATTGATGCCAAACTACCACAAAACCATCTTTGACTCCCTAAGAGGACCTCAATGGGATTTTTTATGTAATTGGTCACAGCGCCCCCTAGATAAGATTAGGAGTTAATTACTTCCTAATACAAGGTCAGAATGGCATTAAACTTGGCTTGTCTCATCATATGACTGCGCCAAACACATTGATGTGATTATTGTTTCAAACCCCTGTAGCTCCACCCCCTTTCGGCTCTCTGGCTCTAGATAAAACACACATCTAATTGATGCCAAAATAACAGAAAACCATCTTTGTCAACCAAAGCTGACCTCAATGGGATTTTTCTGTAGCATTAAACTTGGTCTGTGTCATCAAACCACGAGTGTGATAAAGATAGAGTATCCCCTAGTGCAGTGGTTCCTAACCTGGGGGTCCCGACCCCCACAAGAGGGCGCTAAAGCCTCTCAGTGGGTCACCAGGGGTTAAAACTTCATTTATTACTTGTTTATAGCCTACATTTTGCTCACAATTTTTTTCATGAGTGAAAAGTTTACTGATATCAAGACAGGAAATAATTAGTACAGAAAAAGTAACACACTTTTAAGAACATTTTGCTCAGCTCACTGTTTTATTTTCAAGTGTCAAAAGTTCATTAAAGATAGGACTGGTTAATTAATCACAGCCTTTACAGTAAATAATCTAGTATAAACAGTAATATACACATTTAAGTACATTTTGCTCAGTGTATTTTTTATGTGTCAAATGTTTATTGAAAGGAATGATTGATTTATCAGTGTTTACAAGAAACAATGTGTTCAGAAAAGTAATACAAACTGTCAAGCACATTATGCTCTGTTTGGTTTTGTTCATGACTTTGTTCTGTACTGGAGCCTACTATTACTGTTATCTATTGAATCAAAGCATATTAAAATGTGCTTGAACAATTTTATCATTTCTTAATAATGTTTGTACTGGAAGAGAGAATGGGAGGGGCTCGTCAAAAATTTTACTGGTAAAAAAGGGGTCCCGTGGGAAAAAGGTTGGGAACCACTGCCCTAGTGGTTAGATGTGTAATTTAATGGTGGGCTCAGAGAAAATGCTGAGTCAGAGTGAGGTGCAGACGAGGAGACCGTTCGCGGTTTCTGGTGTCGGGGTGGTCGATGTTTATGTTCAGCAGACGTGCTCGGGTGCACCAGCCTGCCGGCCAGGCCAGAGCAACGCGGAGCTGCCAGGGCCGAACGACGCTGCTTGCAGCTTTAATTCTATTTAGCATTGAAAGAAAGTCTGGATGGAAATCTGAGCTTAAAGATACATAAAGGAAGAATGGCAACTTGTGGTCAGATTAGGGTACTGCAGTCCATGTTTCAAAACAAACAAGTCCACCATGGGTAACTATTGCCAGTTATGGCTCAGCACCAGAAGATTCAAGTCATACACTGAAAGGAGATAAGATATTACTTTTTGGTGACTGAAAAGTAGCGTGAGATATTTTTAGAGCCAGCTATTTTATTCTAATTCAATGTTAGCATTGTTAGCTCAACACTTTCC